CAAAGTAACTGTTAATAAACACATTTCAATTTTGTCTAGTATATTCTTGCATAAAATACTAACTCTATGCTAGATATTAATATTATTTCTGCAAAGTTCTGCAGAAAAAGGACTAAGAAATATTGTTTGATAATTGACTGGTCATTATGAAATCTGAATAGTGAATACCATCAATTTGGGGATTAAATCACACGCATTTGGAAACCTTCCTGCATGTAGATAAGTCACAACTTGACTTTGACAAGACTAGATTTTTTTTTTTTTTTTTTTTTTTTTTTTTTTTGTACTCTTTGCTTATAATGAGCAAAAATAAAAATAAACAGTGACATTTTAAATTTAGAAAATGTCTTGCACTTAATATAATCATGGAATTATCATATTGCATTTTACTTCCATGTACTAACAGACTATTGAATGTTATTTGCTAACTATTAATCAGTCTTTTAAATAAACTGCTTTTCATGTATTTTGCTCTTAGATTAACTGCTTCTACACTGGTGCTAAAATTTGAGAACCAATTGAAATATATATATGTATATATTGGTACATTATGTAGCCCAAAAAACCTCTTCTTTTTTCTGCATCTTGTAAAGACTGGCTAAAAAGAAGCTTTATATAAAGAGCTGTATTAGATAGTTCATTTTTAAAACTTGTGAACTACTCCAATCTCCAAGTCCATGTCTAGCATTTTTAATGAATCCTGCATCCACAATGCTTTAAATTTTCTTTATCTATTTACTAATATTTTACTAATCATATCTAATTTTTTGCAAAATCTATCTGATATGTCTTTATTTTTACACTAAATTCTCAAAATACAAATCCTAAATTAATGATAATCTTGTTTTTATATATCAGTATCTTTGAGTCCTCTATAGTTCAGCTTTCTGATTCAATATAAACTCACGGAAAAAAGAACGGGTAGCAGTTTGTTAAGCTGTTTTTTACTACCAATCTCACATTAAGATTGAAAACAGACCAAATGAATGAATCCCTTATAGCAGAATCTTGCCAAACTTGTTGGCATTGCTTTGAAAACTTAAGATGTAAAGGCATAATTTTCCATCTTTAAAAGAGCTTCCAAAAATCTCTCCCTTTCATGATTGGAAGATACATGTATTATTTGACAGTGATTCTCATATAGTGAGGGTAACATAGACCCTTAAGTCTTATGTTATCACCTTTTTGGTGTACTTAACACAAAATAGCACAAGTACATATTATGTTATATGCATTGGCAATGTACACTCTGAATTATGTAATCAAAATATAAGCCATTTCCCTGAATGAGTCTTTGTGAAATGCATCATGGCATTCCCTAAACTCTTAATCCAAGAGACAATCTAATGTTTACTTAAAAAACATTATAAAAGTCTTTGTTTCGTTACTGCAGACAAAACAAACAAATGGTCATAGCAGTACATACTGATAATATTAATGTTCTTCTTGTCAGTAGTAAACTGACCATGAAAATTAAAAATTGATAAAATGAGTTGTCACAAGCTTTCAACTGGTTTTAGAACGGTGTTCCATTCTTACTGACTCAACATATTAGTATTTTCTTAACATCTGTAAGATAATAATTTATCAGTAAAGAAAATATTTACAGCAGTTTCCTGCTCCGAGAAAATATTTCAGGCTTCTGAGAATTTACTGTCCTGATTAAAACTGGACATAATTAAAAAATTTGTGTATTGATATGCTTAATCTGCATACACATTTGTATTGTACTAGATAACACTGTACTATTTCAGTGTTTTTATCTGTCTTGACCATTTCCAGACACTCTTTCAATATATTACATTGTATTATCAATATGAGTTTATATGTAAATTAACTGAACTGTTGGTTCATCACAAAAATCAATGTGCAAACAAAAATTAGCTATGCTTGCAGGTTGTTTTAAATATAATAAGGGTAGACCTAACGTTCCCTGGATGGAAGGATGTCTACTGCAACAATCAGATAGACCTGGACTAAAATTCACTATTCTGATTCTAATTTATTTTATTTTAGTACGTCAAAAAATGAAGTTTTTATTTACAACAATGGTCTATGCTCCATAAATATCAATGTGCAATCAATTAATAGTTATGATTTTTATGTAAGATATCAAATCTGTATTGTAGTAGAATGCATGCAACTTACAGATCCAAAATCATGCATGTTGTTCTAGTTCCTATGTTTTCTGGATGAAACGATGTCAACATTAATCAGATAGACTTGGGCAAAATCCCTATTCTAATTTTAATTTTATTTGTGATTCATTAAGCACGTTTTATTTTCAATAAATATGGTCTATGTTCCCTGAATGGAAGGTTAACCAAATAAACATAATCAGTTGTGGGCAAATTCCCTATTCTGATTGTGATTTATTTTATTTTATTTTATATTTATTTATCAACTTTAAACAGTCAATGTGAGTATCAATGTTGGTCTACGCTCCCTGTATGGAACGTTATCCAAATAAAATAACAATCAGATATGGGCAAGTTCCCTTTCCTGATTGAAATTTATTGAACCAATTGAGGTTCTAGTGACAATAGTGGTCTACGCTCCCATATTTAAAGGACGTTATCCACATTAAAATAGTGACAATAGTGGTCTACGCTCCCACAAGGACGTTATCCACATTAAAATAATCAGATCTGGCCAAAACACCTATTCTGATTTTAATATAGTGATGTGTTTACACAGTCTCGTGTACAGACTGTAAAATTGTAATAAACAATCAACTTATCCAAACTTTCCACTTGACCCGTTTCGTAGATTGCTCTAAACAGCTAAAAATTCGGTCAGCGTGGAAGAAGTATTAAAACATCCGTTTATTCTAAAAACGGAGCACTCACGTAACATGTCCGATTTTGACAGAAAAATTCTGTCTTTCCTCGGACCGGACTTAATGTTTGAAAATGGCGGCTAAACAAAGGTCATTTTCTAGGTCGTCGTTGTTCCAGACTCGTAAGATGTAAAATTGACGAAACGTGCATATCAGAAACTTGACAGAAGCGCTGTATTCACATTAAATTAATCGTAAAACGATATACCGAAAACAAATAATGTCTTTTATAAAACATAAGGATTTAAAAAACCTTGTCGACGAGAAACATGCGTTCACCTGAACGCAAAAATTAAAACTAAAGATACTGTATGTTACACAGGTAAATTATGACGTAGGTGAGTACATCTTATGGATGTAACTTTTAATCACCTAGTTAATTGCGATGAGAACATGTTGTGAAAGCAAACATATTCTATATAATATAAATGTAATTTCATGGTAAGTATATTTAACCAAATTCATATAAAATTTCTATAAAATTATGCTATTTATGAGGAAAAGCGGATATAAATGTGAACTGTAGTCGTGCGGATATGACAAAAGTCTATGTCATGCCAAAATGAACCCAAAAAATCCTTCGAATGAAAAAATGAAATAGGAGGTGTACCAGTTCATCCGTAAATAAGATTCTATTACAGTTTACAAAAGGAGGACCTCCTAACACTATATACCTCCCTCTCCAGAAAGCGGAAGGTGTAGGATTATTAAACCGTACCAAATAATGATAGCTGTGACTGAAAGCAAGCTCATAATACTTGATCTACTTAGAGTAATTATGCAAGCATACATATTAATATCAATGACTGTATTTCACACAGCAACGCCAAAAACAGTGCAGAAAAAGAAACGTTGCTTTAACTAACTGTACAGAATTAAAAATGTAATAAAATAATAGAAACAGTCAATCTGCAAATGCACTGATTCAACCAAAATAGTATGCTTTCAAATTCACGAATAACAGCTATATGACCGTGAAACTTTTAATCAGCAACATCAGAAAATATGTATAATTTTATTTTACAAAATACACAAGGAAATAATACGTGTTTCCCCTGCTATAGATAGACATTACAATAACATCTTTTTCCTGTTTGAAATTCAAGTGATCATTGAATATCGTTCCGCTTACAATTTGAAATGAAACTCGATCAGTCATGGAATATATTGAAAAATAGGCACAACAAGTCTATTCACTTCCCATATTTGACATTTCGTTGGCAGAAAATAAATATGTCTGAAAACAAGTGTTAACATTTGTCCCTGATTTTAACTTATCATGAGCAACATGATGGGTGCCAATGGTGGTAAAAGGGATTCGTGTGGATTTTACTTGAGTTTTCTATGTTGAACTTGGTGATATTTTTATTTCATGTCTTAGCTGTTCTATATGTAACTGTTATCCTTCTAATCTTATACATTCGGTCATGAATTAATTATATTTTTTGTACGTACCGAATATTAGTTAAAGTAATGTCTTTTAAAGGGACTCTCCATTTTGAATTTTCCTTGGAGTTAGGTATTTTTGTTTTTTTTCTTTTGTTTGTAAGACGAGTAACATTTGACAATTCTCTATGATAGAGTGCATAATCACCGGTATGAACATGGTTTTACCACAAGTTGCACGATTATCATCAGCGCAGAGGAGAAAACCTGCTACCCTTCTGGAGTGCCTAAACTCATCACTGATTTTTTTTGTCCGTTCATCTTTAATTTTCTTTGTAAAATATTGATTACTTTTTCGTTTTCCACCTTTAGGCTCAAGTATTGTCTCTTTACTTGGTTTATTGTTTTCGATGTCAACGGCTTCTTATTTTTTCATTAAAAAAGCCAGAGGCAAACAAGTTAACAACTATTTTTCTTCTTTCGTTCTTGGTTATGGTTATTTCTATGACACATGAGGTCCATAATGGCCTAAAAGTGAAATTTAAGAGATATAAAATAAGGAGATGTGGTATGATTGCCACTCATACAACTATCCACCAAAGTTAAAATAAAGTGGATGTAAGCAATTACAGGCAACCGTATGGCCTTCAACAATGAGTAAAATCCCATGACGTATTGTCAGTTATAAATGGCCCCGACATGAAAAATATGAAACAATTCAATTGAGAAAACTAACGGCCTTTTTTGCTAATGCAAGAATTTATTTTTGACACGAAAAAACGAACAAATTGAATGCATCTGTAAATATAGTTACTCGTGCTTTGGTTACAACTTATAATTAATCATTGGTCTCAATCTAATATTCCAAAGTCAAATTCTTGAATAACTGTTATGCGTAGTCACAATATCCTGCTGGGTTCCATACAAGACCCTTACCACAATGTTGTTTCGCAGGTCTCCCCCATACACATTGATAGAAACCATTCTTGTCACATGTATCTACATAGAATTTTCCATGTTGACAGTTCTCTGGACCTAAAAATGAAATATAGTTTTACAAAATTTTGGTACAATTTTAATCAAAACTAAAATTCATCCACGGGTATTAATTAATATTATGTTAATTTTTAAAAATGGCGTTGTTAAATAAGAATAGAGGTACAAATAGTAATGATTTAATATACTAAAAGAAGTAACGTTAAATATTTACAGTTAGTACATTGAACATATGCTTAATTATGGTGTCATTGACTCAATTTGTGCAGTTTTCAAATTTTTGTCACTTTTAGTTTCGATAGTGTGAGGATTTTGTTTACTTTCAGTTTCGATAGTGTGAGGATTTTGTTTACTTTCAGTTTCGATAGTGTGAGGATTTAGTTTACTTTCAGTTTCGATAGGGTGAGGATTTTGTTTACTTTCAGTTTCGATAGTGTGAGGATTTTGTTTACTTTCAGTTTCGATAGTGCGAGGATTTTGTTTACTTTCAGTTTCGATAGTGTGAGGATTTTGTTTACTTTCAGTTTCGATAGGGTGAGGATTTTGTTTACTTTCAGTTTCGATAGTGTGAGGATTTTGTTTACTTTCAGTTTCGATAGTGTGAGGATTTTGTTTACTTTCAGTTTCGATAGTGTGAGGATTTTGTTTACTTTCAGTTTCGATAGTGCGAGGATTTTGTTTACTTTCAGTTTCGATAGTGTGAGGATTTTGTTTACTTTCAGTTTCGATAGGGTGAGGATTTTGTTTACTTTCAGTTTCGATAGTGTGAGGATTTTGTTTACTTTCAGTTTCGATAGTGTGAGGATTTTGTTTACTTTCAGTTTCGATAGTGTGAGGATTTTGTTTACTTTCAGTTTCGATAGTGTGAGGGTTTTGTTTAAGTATTAGTGTTTCTATATTTTTTATTTATGATTTTTTTGCTTATAAATTAACTGTGATTGCTAACAAAAAGTATGAAAAAGTCAAATATGTGATCCAAATTCTGCTTGAAAAGATAAAAAGAATAATGTATTCTAAAGACAAGTTTAAGATGTACATTATGTAATAAATAAATATTATAACATTAACTGGCACTTGGCCAAACAAAGATAAGGCGACTTACTTTTTGTTGACGCTAGTTGTTTGAAAGACGAAATGTGTCAATGCTTCCAAAGTGTAACTCAAACTCAAATATAAAATCCATAAAATATAAACTTGATTGAGGATGACCTTCAAATATAAACTTGATTGAGGATGACCAAATACACCTTCAAATATAAACTTGATTGAGGATGACCAAATACACCTTCAAATATAAACTTGATTGAAGATGACCAAATACACCTTCAAATATAAACTTGATTGAGGATGACCAAATACACCTTCAAATATAAACTTGATTGAGGATGACCAAATACACCTTCAAATATAAACTTGATTGAGGATGACCAAATACACCTTCAAATATAAACTTGATTGAAGATGACCAAATACAACTTCAAATATAAACTTGATTGAGGATGACCAAATACACCTTCAAATATAAACTTGATTGAGGATGACCAAATACACCTTCAAATATAAACTTGATTGAGGATGATCAAATACACCTTCAAATATAAACTTGATTGAGGATGACCAAATACACCTTCAAATTAGGCAGAGCTATAAGTTTGACTACAATGTATTAAGTTTTTTTACGAGTTGTTGCAGAAAGGCACAGACGGACGGAAAACACTACAAACATGTATTTGCTGGTATATGTATCATTAGTTTGAGTGGAGAAGTATGAATATGTAGTCACAATGCTAATGATTTGTAAAACAATGTTTGGTAGAAGGCGTTCATCTACATTCTAACAAAAAAATAACGGGCAATAAAGTATAGCACGTTATAAAGGCTGATGAAAAGACCATATATAACATTTATGCTCACCACACTTATCAGATTCTTCATTCCTTGTTTTTCTGGATGTTGTGGTTATTGGTCTTGGTGACTTCTTGGGACTAACTACAATTAGCAACATTTTTTCCTCTTAAATAAGTTTAAGTCCAATTTTGCTCTTCAAAAGCATTGAAATATGGGATTCTGATTAAGGTCAGTGAATATATTATTTAACAAATATAAATGGAGTTTTTGATAACTTTAAGGTAAAGCTGTTAAAATGTTTAAAAATATAGAAAATTATGCCAAAATTTTAATTTTCTTTTGTTTTAATAGTAAAACGTCAATTCTTTTCTGCAATTTAACATTTACGGACAAGAAGACCTTAACGCAAACGCTGGCAAAAAGTTCCGAAAAGTCATTTCTAACGGCTTACAAAATTTATATAATTATATTTCACCTAATTTTTCGTCCGCCATTTGGGATATCCGGAATTGCAGTTACGGACATCAGTTTAATCCCAGTGATGACAGAAAGATGTAAATACTAATAAATGTCAAGCTCGAATCGTTCTGGATTCAAGCTAACTATAAAATTGAGAATGGAAATGGAAAATGTGTCAAAGAGACAACAACCCGACCAAAGAGCAGAAAAAAGCGAAAGGCCACCAATGGGTCTTCAACACAGCGAGGCTCGTGACTTGGGACAGGCGCAAACATGCGGCGGAGTTAAACATGTTTTGTGAGATCTCAACCCTCCCCCTATACTTCTACATATAGCCAATGTAGAATAAACAAACACACAGCAATACGTACAGTAAAACTAAGTTTAAAAGAAGTCCGAGTCCTTTATATGTTATGTTGTATCAGAAAATATTTTTAAAATTCGAACATGGTGCAGCAAAAATCGAATAAATTTTGTTCATGTGTCATAACGATGGTTGAGTAACATATTCAAATGTAGCTTGATAATGGGAGTCATTAAGTTAAACATACTTACTAGTAACTATATATTGTGGAGTTATGATTCTTGATTGATGAAGATTTTTAAAGGTTTTTTCTCAAAAAATTAGTTTTAAACCAGAACGTTGTAATTGAAGTTTGATTTTATTAAATCTAACATCTTGCTTTCTGCACTTGCTGCCCTGAACTGTTAGATATTGATTTAACAAGTCATCAACGGACAAATTATGTAATATGGTACTGACTGATTTGTATCAATTTCAATATATTAACCTTTATAATAGAGGTTAAACTCATTGGGGTGTATCTCAATATAACTTGAGCAAGATGTTAGATTTAATAAAATACATAATGACGTGGCTCTTTTTTTTTTAGAAGAAATTCACAATAAGCATATAGAGTTATAGACAAGCGGCAAGAAGGACAAGGGAAAATTCTAATTTATATTCTGCAGAGGATATGCCTAAAAGAACTAGACTACATTCTGTTCATACTTTGAACGACAAAATTATTGTATTTCTACCTGTGTGACGTTTACATGCTGATCAACTGATGTACGTCAAACGCGCAATGTTTTGGTTTTCTAACTATTTCGATCTGAGCGTCACTGATGAGTCTTATGTAGACGAAACGCGCGTCTGGCGTATGAAATTATAAGCCTGGTACCTTTGATAACTATTAACCTAACCATGTGCCTGTCAGGGTAAGGAGTCAGTCCCAGTACTTAAAATCTTTCAATCCTTTATGGGTGGACATAGATAAATAAAATCGTATAATAAAAAAGCAATGAATGAGGTTGTTAAATTTGATATCTGACTTTTTGTGCTTCTTTGTTACATATTTGTTTTTTTTATAGTGATTAAGATTATAACACAATGCTGACTGCTGTACCCCTATTTTTGATATTTTTACCTATTATGTTTGTTTGATTTGTTCACGCATCGTTGTCAATATAATGGAATTTGATTCGACTGTCATACAAGTGCGAGGTTTAGCTAGCTATAAAACCAGGTTCAATCAACCATTTTTTACATAAGAAAAATGTCTGTACCAAGTCAGGAACATGACAATTGTTACCCATTCGTTTAATGTGTTTGAGCTTTTGATTTTGCAATTTGATTAGGGACTTTCCGTTTTGAATTTTCCTCGGAGTTCAGTATTTTTGTGATTTTACTTTTTGAAATGAAAATGATAATGTATAAGTGTCGTGCGTTGGTTGCCCTTCACTGGATTATCCTTTATCAACAATGCTCAAACTAAAAAAAAGTAAGCCTGGGATGTATAAATACGTAAAAATGTTAGGAACTATATGACCTAAAGGGACTTGAAGTGAACTGCTAATTTCATCTAAGTAGATATAAGAAGATGTGGTATGAGTGCCAATGAGACAACTCTCCATCCAAGTCACAATTTGCAAAAGTAAACCACTATAGGTCAAAGTACGGGCTTCAACACGGAGCCTTGGCTCACACCGAACAGCAAGATATAAAGGGCCCCAAAAATGACTAGTGTAAAACCATTCAAACAGGAAAACCAACGGTCTAATCTATATAAAGTACGAGAAACGAGAAACACTCATGAACCACATCAACAAACGACAACCACTGAACATCAGGTTCCTGAATTAGGACAGGTGCAAACACATGCAGCGGGTTTAAACGTTGTAATAGGCGCCAACCTTCACCCTACCTGAATTAATAGTGTAACATCACAACATAGAAAGACACACTATAAACTATCAATTGAAAAGGCATAACCCAATCAAAAGACATATTAACAAAAGCAAGTGATCATACACTCAACGAATAAATTTGATCTATGACACAATGTAAATAAAAAAATTAATAACACAAAGGGGTTACATGTATGTTACTCCAAAAACACACGTGTTGTGCGCACTGAAATAATTTCATTAGAATTTCTATGTTGTAATTTTTACCTTTTGACAATGGTGTGCCTTCGTCGTTCCATTCATACGGCTTGATTGTAAGTCCACTAACTTTTGCGAAAGAGCAAAAGAACGCTTAAAAACAGATAGAAATTATGTTTCTCTTCGTTCAACTGTTATGACGATTTTATAATTTGGTAAAAAATTGATCTTGTGTTATTACATAATGATACTTTTATAACATCAGGGATTGAGAATAAACGGTACACTTTTACCTGCTGATAACATATTTTCATTTATTTATTTTTTTTTGTTATTTGTTGAATTGTTATACAAAAAAGGTAAGTGTATAGTATTTTATTTCAACCTGGAATTTCACAATAACTGTACGAAATTAACTAGGTGCCTAATGTCCTATATCGTTTTACATTTGGCGTTACGAAGTCATAAACAACTGATGTTTTATTAAATTTTGTTTTCCGAGTCCGCTTACACTTTATCATATGAAGAAGGAAGTATCGATATAAAATGTTTTTTTCTGACGAAAATACTGTTCATCAATTTGAAATGAACAAGTTACAGGAATGACGTGAAAATGGTTACACAAATGGGGAATGTGAAAAAAGTGTTAACATTTATAAAAAAAAAAAACGGAAAAATAAAACATTACCAATACCATTCAGTACGAAAACTGCAAGGAGGAGAGCCTGTGTGCGATTTCTTTTGATCATCTACAAAATAATAGAAATAATAAAACGTTCCATTATCCTTAAGGATGTTTGCTACTCATGTTTTTGACTTTTTGACTTTTTTCGGAATCCTCTAGTTTTATCCATGTAGTGCCAATATAAATTTTGCACGCTAACCCCTATTTTTCTTTTCATAATTTTAAAACATATAATTTAAACATCTATTTTTGAACATCTTATAAAATCCATGTTTTTTTTCATAGTGTTTGAAATAAAAAAAGGTGTCAATGTTAAATTTACGAAAAATCTAGAGAGAATCTTTCCCGCCAAATTTTCAATTAATTATATCTCTTATACAAGGATACGGACCTATTATTTTTTCTGCTTTTTAAGTTCCATTATTTATATACTATCAATTAATTACAGGCTTTTAAAAGTCTTGTTATTTTGAAGTAAAGAAGCGAACATCTTTAAAACAGAACATTTTAAAAAAGGATTTGTGTGGTAATCGTTTCTCGGAAGATCGAAAAACTTTTGAACAATTTAGAGTCTTTCAGGTAAAAAAAAGTAATCTTTAACATTACGCCCTATTCCGTCTAAACGAACTGATGGTCACATATTTTGAATTATTTTTTCATATTCTGGATGTCTACTTCCTTGTTTGCTGAAATTTACTCATCATCTCTATATAAAACTCAAAAGATATGGTATATATATATATAAAGGCAACAGTAGTTTACCGTTGTTCAATAGTCATAATTCGATTAAACAAAAAAAAATCAGGGTAACAAACTAAAACCGAGGGAAACACGTCAACTATAAAAGGAAAACAACGGAACAACACAAACACTGAACCACAACAAAATCAAACGCCAACATACATAGAAACGGACTGTCTGATAACAACTGCCATATTCCTGACTTGGTACAGGACATTTTAAGAAAAAATAGTGGGTTGAACCTGGTTTTATGGCTAGCCAAACCTCCCGCTTATATGGCAATGCTAAAAATACCGCTAAAATGACAACACCACGTGACAGGTATACAATACAAACAAACGAAAAAAACACTCAGCACAGAGAAATACATAAATAAATAGTATAATAGTACATTATAACTTATAAACCACAGAATAACAACGGACACCTCCCATGAATTTACGACAGCACACCAGGACACCACAAACGAAATATAAACTGCGCGTCATATGAATGGACCACCGTCACAAAAAGTGACGTATTTTTTGTGACGTTTATATTATCACAGGTAAATTTCTAAAAATAAAATAAATTTGTTTTATCTATAGACACATACAAGAATATTGAATTGGGTTTGAGTTTGTAATGGTGTTATTTTATGTATTTTTTTAACTATGTCGGTTTTTCTTCTAAATCAAAACTGTGTATAAACAAAAAAAATCCTGTGCATATAGTTGCTTTGAACTTAAAATCAATTCAAACCACAAACGAAATAAACAGACAACAACTCAGTACAAAATGACACAGCGGACCCACACGTATAAGAAAGTAACAACAAAAAGCCCGAAAGCGGGATATATAAATACCGAACCACGTCGTCTCGAACATAAGACATAACAAAATATCTCACAGGACTTACAAAAGAAACATCATAACTAAATACATGAATGTTGAATATATAAATACCGAAACACGTTTGATTGCCAGTGAAACAACTCTCCCCCAGAAACCAAATGACGTCGAGATTAGCAACTATAGTTCACCGTATGGCCTTTGCCATTAGGAAAACCCGTACCGCAACTGCAAGCTATGAAAGGACACAAAATGACAAATGTAAATTCAAACGAGAAAATAATGACCTAAAAGTTTGACCAATTTGGTTCAAAAGTGTTTGCAATTTCTATAGAATACGTATTGCATTACAGTTCTTCTTAGAAAAAAAAACCCATTGAAAATAGAGTTTTTTCACTGGACTAAAAAGTTTTGTTAAATATTTAAGACCGTCTCAACCTTGTTTGTTGAAAAACAATATTGCATCTTTAATCTGTTAAACAGTTTTTTGATTTGATTTTTGTTTTACTTTATTGTTACATGTATTTCTATTTTCTTATTCCAGAAATATGCCCGAAGCATTGTTTCTTTGATCGAAAACGCATGCAATTTAAATGAAAATAAATTATTGCAGCCAAACAAACGCTGGTCCACTGGATTGTCCAGTCGTCCGTTTGTTCGGTTTTTCTCCCGTTTTCATGCACCTTTGATTAGCAACTCCTCATAACAAGTGGAAACATAGTCCAAGTAGAGATTTCCCTGTTGCAGTTTGAAGCTGTATTATTGTAGCAATCCAGAAAATGAAAATTCAATTCAGAACGTAACATTTATTCTTTTATATTTTATTTCAAAAAATTATGGTTTAACAAATTTCAAACTTTGTTAAACAATGCCCTTGTTTAAAGAAATTAAATATAAAGATTGTCTTACCGTGAACAGTGTAGGTCTGTTTATGTCGAAGAGAAATCTGGATGCTTCTTAAATATCAAAATTTATCTGACCTCCTACACATTCCTAGGAATATGATTGGTTAAAAGAAATCGCGTGGAGACCGTGTATATTTCATTTGGGGTTAGTAGGCGGGGCTTATTTCAATACACGGTTAGTAGCGGTGTTACGTCCCTTTATAAAAACAACTAGGTGTTGAGGAAAAATTTGAAAGGTTTCAACAGATGAAGAAATTGATGATGAAAAATTGAAATAAATTCATAAAACACATTTAAAACTTACAAGCTGTTATTGTTGGCATTTGTTTTTGTATAGACCAATGGAAATAGGTTCTTAATACTAACGGTATTGAAGACATGATCATTTTGAAAGGCCACTAGTCTAAATACCAAATGTTAAGATGCTTCGCTCTCACCCCATATGGAATTTACTGACCCTATATATATCGTATTAGGTCACTACCACACTATGTAACTAACAATACGCCCCACATGCAGGACAGCTTATACAGTTATAATCACTTTTCAACGTAGAGATGAAATACGAAGCAGAAGTGTGTTTTCATTTCATGGATAAGGTCCAGATAAAGTGATAGACTGTAAAATTAAATGTTTTATGAATTCCTTATATCTTTCAATGACACTTAATTAAACTTTATATTTGAAGTAGTGGTCACATTTCAGTAAATTAGTGCTAATGATATTTTCATCCCAAAAATTCCCTTACGTTGTACCTTTATAGCAATAGTAGGATGAAATTAAGAAAGTTACCTTGCAACTGTTAATATTCACCCAAAGCATGCATTGACACTGAAATAAAGTATGCGTTATCATGCAAATAATGTGTTTGTAGCAAAAGTGTTTGTTCATGAAATATTTAGTTTATAAACACGACATAGTGTAATAGAAAGTGACAGTGGAGACTCAGTAAGAATATGAAAAAGAAAAGAAAGATAAAATACAGACATTTCAAAGTTGAAGAATAAGCAGTTTTTTGTGATCAGGTACAGTAAGCATTATTATACTTCATGTTAGATTGCATGGTTTTTTTATTAGTGAGTACAAGAGTAGTATTCTACTCTTACACATGTGTCAGCGAGAACATTTTTGTAAATGATATCATCTCGTATTAGCAAATAAAATCTTGCAAAACAAAAATCGATTATTTAAAAGTCAATAAAATCAGAACATTCATTATATTGAATTGAAAACATATAGCTTCAAGGGTGAAAGAGTAGATTTTACTCGGCTTCGTCTCGGTTGATAATATTTTTCTCGGGGTAACAATCTGCTCTCTCACCCTCTCGGCTTTGTGTTATTTATATATTTTCTTACGAATTTGATTCGTACTAGATTGATATTAAGCAGTTTTACTACAACTGTTAGAAGCACATATAGTTTTGAAAATTATAAAACGAATAGAATACGGGCAATTAATATCACTTACTTTAAAAGTCAAATAATATATTGTGAAGCAAACAAAAGCATCAAGTTTTATGGGACCTTCTTAAGTTGTTCGTGTTTAAAGTGATCAGTAAATAGTTTCAAGAAAGCTGAATGCTAACAAAGGAACAATAAATATTCCTGTTTTACAGAAAGACAAAACAATTGAAACAATCATTTTTGAAAATTCTTTAAATCTAAGCACTTTGTAACTATTTTGTTACCATTTTTTTCTGGACAAATTTAAAATAACTGATTGACATATAATTCCTTCCTGAGAATATTTCGAAATACTGGTCCCAAATCAGTATTATTAACAAAAATATACAATATCTCATGTGTCATAAGCTTTTATAAAAAAGAAGATGAGGTATGATTGCCAATGAGACAACACTCCACAAGAGACCAAATGACACAGAAATTAACAACTTTAGGTTTTGTTCACTTTATGTCTACAGTATTCACAGCTTTTTAGCTGATAGTTCCACTAACTAGCAAACTATTAATGATATACATCACAGTTTTTTCAAAGGATTAACAGAACAAAATAAAAACAATTTAACTTTATACACTATGACAAACAATAACAATTTACCCTAGACACAACCTTAAAGACTAATTCTCAATCAGTATATAGTATAAAGAAATATAAATAACTCTCATTGAAAACAAAATACTCTTTACCAATTGCAAGAAAATATGTAAAAGTTTGGATCATTCCTGTTTTATATGTTATTAAATAAGATGAATTTAAAACTGTTAGAAATACATGATTACGATTAAACTAAAGATGTGATTGAATTTATATATAGTGTTATATCAAGGTTAGTGAATTTTTTTCCTGCGACTTCAACTCCTGAATTGGAAGATGTTTATATGTATCTATTTTTATGCATTTGAATTCTTTGTGTTTCCTGAAACATTAATCAAAACAGAATTTGAGATTTTTTGTTTTTATAAGTGAATCAATCATATATGGTACTACTAGGGGGCGGGGGGTTGATAACATTGACTACCTATGAGAGTGTCGCACGGTCGGTCATATATTGAGACATTAATTTGTAAATTTTAGTAATTTTTAATTTTGGTAGGATTATATGTAAAAAGTTGTCTTTTAAGGACAATTAATCCTTTAGGCAGTCATTTGATGGTTTCAAGCATATCTGCAATCTTTAGTTTTCTGGGTAGTGTTAAGTATTGTTTGTCTTTTCATCATGTTTTTCTTTTGACCAGCTGTGTTCTGATTTTCTTGTACATGGATTCTGATTACCCCCTTTCTCTCATTTTTTTGTAGATTTTTGTATTGTAGATTAATTTTTCTGTAAACAAAATTCTCTTCCTCATTTTTACTTATGCAGAAATTGTCAAACTGGTTAAAAATCATCATTCAAGGACTCTTGAGAATTTGGTGTTTAAGGGAAGTAGCTAAATCCAATTTCTGAGCATTTTACCCTGTCAAATTTTCTGGCTCTACTATTGTTTTCTAAATATTAAACAGTTACTTGCACTTCAAATATATGTTCTATTTAGCAATTTTGACATATTGTTTGATTGGCATGAACACCAGGAACAAATCTTACAGAAGACACTAGCGGACAAATTGGTTTCAAATGGCTTAGCAATCTCCGGCACAGAGATCATATTCGTTCCGTTCTATACTATGTAACACTACACTCAATATGAAGGGAAGTATTGCAAAGCACGTATGGAACTGATATGAACTCTGTGCTGGAGATTGATGGCTTGGTGGTTTCAAAGGAGAAAATTATGTTAAATTTTCAACTAGACATTATACAGACAATGGATTATGAATGCCAAGTAAAGAGAATAGATAAGCTGATCTAAAGGGAGTACAAAGGACTGTATTTTGAAATACTAAGTACTACGAAATAATTAGTTTCTATCACAGCCATAAACAAATTATTAATTCAGATATTTCATATATTTTTCCTTAGCACAAAAAATTACATATACTTTTAAAGGAGTGTTTACAGGTGGAAACCCAGTTGAAATTAAACAAAAGAAATGGAACTCTTTAGTAGAGAAGGTAAAAAAGGCCTAGTTGGTAAATCTGTTTTTATGGGCTTTAAAAATTTACTGAATGTGCATAATTGAGAATTTTATGCATCTTACATATGTGTTGTACTTAAATCATGGTATTGAACGTTATGATATTTTTAAACTTTTAAATTAAAGACAAATTTTCACAAAACAGTCCATTGTGGTAGGTGCAAATACATGTGGATTTGTTTTGTGCATAAGCATAAATTCCCCCGAAAAAAATTCCAAAGAAAGATAATAGATTGGTCTCTTTAAAACATTAATTTGCATCTCTGCCCCCGGCAACAGTTTTTTTGGGAAAAATCCCAAAAAGATCAATGATCTCATCGAAAAGAGAAAGTCGTGTACACCTTTTTATGTTCTGGCATGTTTGAATTGACTATTGTGTCTTGAAATCATACAAAAGAAAAATATTTGATACATCATCTCGCTTCATATTCTATTATTTTTATATATTTAGGCTATAGGTTAATATAATAACATTTAAAATTTACAGTACTAAGAATTAAATATATAGGTAGAGTGAAATACCTTTCTAATGAGTCATGACAACAGAGTAGGTGTGTTCGAATAACAAATTTTTACTAAATGTACCTGACGACAGACTTTACAAGTGAATCTTAAAAATGCATACCTTCAAAAAAGCTTCATTTTTTGTGTGTGTTATCTATGGTAATTAGTCTTCAACCTCTGAAAATTTTTAGTCTGCCCTTCCACGAAATATCTAATTAGATTTTTTTTTTATTTTTGAACTTTCGAAAATTACCCCTGACAACCGATCAGACAATAGTTTTAAGATGACTAAAGAAAAGCATAAAAGTACATAAACTCATGCTCAGTAGCTAGTAGATACATTTGTCTTTTAAAATACAACTGGCATATAAGGATCGTAATGATGGTATGTGGATAAGTTGATCGGTTTTCAAGAGCTAAATTGATAGCGCGTCATTACTACAATGGCTTCTATTTTTACGATTATAAAAATAATGTGGCGTAATGGGGAGATAATTTTGACAAAGTAGAATCCTGATTGCTTATACTCTCATAAAACATAGTTTACATATCAATCATCAATAAATGTTTAAGCAAATAATGAAGTTGACATTTAACGTCTATTGATAAATTACAAAGTGCTCTTGTTTTATCAATAAATGCTTAAGCAAATTATGAAGTTGACATCTAAAGTCCATTGATAAATTAAAAAAAGTGCACTTTGTTTTTGTATTTCAACAAATCTGGCAGTATAAGTGACACTTGAGGACAAATTGACACGATGTTTTCCATCATTTAATTCTTAGTAAATATACAATAAACATATGTTTGCCTAAATACCCTTTTCAATCTGAGAATGTTGTGGCTGGTGACATTTAGATAATACTTTTATTTTATATGGTATTCTATAAATAAACTGTTATTTAGTCAGAATCAATGAGAAGTGAGCTATATTAAGACTTATTACATTAAGAGCAAATTACATACATTTTTTCCTCCTGTCACAAACTTTAACTGGAATTTCTGAAGCCTAAAAAAAGGTAAATATTTCACAATAAATTTTCTTCTATAGTATCAAATTTTTCAGCTTTTACAAAAGATGAAAAATAATTAATTTTGAAAAAATTGTCAAATGAACATCAAGTTTATTATTTCATGATTTTTTTATTTTTTCTACATTAAAAAATATAATTGATTTGTAAAGATTATGCCATCTTTGTTAAGTGATTAATAAAAAGACAATATAATATATAACAATATACATGTAACATTTCCATATGAACACATTACTAATAATTTATGTATTTATGGTATTTTTTTGTTGTAAGATGATTAATATGAAGAATACTATAAAGATGTTTATTTTCTAATACTGTGGATTCATTTATTTTCGTGGGTACCAAATTTTCATGGATTAAGGAAAAAATTGTGATTTCTTGGTTTTTCAAAAAGTGCATACAATCCGATAGAAGATTTGTACTTCATCGAACATTAAAATTGGTTCATCTGTACCCAAGAAATCCACAAAAATTAGTATCCCACGAATAGTAATCCACAGTATCTAATTTGTGCAAATTATATGGCAAATTTTTTTTGCAAGTATAAAAAAAAGAAGATGTGGTCTTTTTTTATCCATTTCTTGTCACTTATTCTGTAATTAAGGAAAGAAGATTTTTGGGGTTTTCATTTTAATTGTAAAATTAGCAAAATTAAACCACTCAAAAAAAAAAAACACATTCAAGACAACAAAACAATAAAGATACTGCGGATTCATCATTATTCGAGAGATACCATTTTTTTTTTGGATTTCGTGGGTAGAGCTGAACCACGAATTTAAATGTTCAATGAAGGATAAACTTTCTATAGGCTTAAATGCAAATTTTGCCAAAACAACAAAATCAAATATTCACCAAAATACAATCTTTCCTGAATCCACGGAAATAGGTAGCCACAAATATTGAATCCATAGTAATTGAACTGTTTCCGAACAAAACATCCATGTTTATAGCACTTGATCTAGTTCAATTAAAATGGGTTTAACTGTGAAATTATAACTTCAACAAAATGGTGATTTAATTAACTCATTAACCTAATATTTTTGTTTCAAAATCAAACTGTTTGGATATTTTCCTTTCCTGGTCATTCTTTATCTTCAAAATTATAAAAACAAGACAATGGTATTTATCACAAATTCACCAAGATATATATATTCATAAAGGCACAAGACAAGCAGAATTGAATATTGCACTTGTTATGGACAGATCAGTCCTGAAAAAAATTGTTGACATGAAAATTTCCTTTCATTCACCTATAACTTGAAAAACTTTTAAAGAAAAGTCTAAATGCATGTTGTTCTTTCTGTTTGAACAGTACATAGATAAATATATCTAGACGCGGTTGTTCATAGATAGAATCCATATAAGGTATGGTTCAAATTTCATTCTGATTTTTCATGATCAGCCACTGCGTGAGGAGTTTCTACCGAAGCTTGTTCATCATACGCTGAAATAAAATATGGCTTTGAATTGAAAATATCATTATGTGTCTTGTCTTAATGCAAAACCACAATATATGATTGATTGATTGTTCTTTGCTTAATTACCCACTATATCTGTATTGACTGATCATGCTAATATGGTTCCATACAACATGCAGTGCATTAGGTCAAAACTATACAACAACAAAAAAAGAATCTTAGTTGCAGTGTCCCCCACGTTGTACATATTTTATCTATTTAAGGATCAACGGCAATAACTAAAAAAACACTTTTTTTTTGTTCTTTAAAACTTTTTAAAATATCTTTATAGAGAAATAAAGGCTTGAGAGCAAATGCAATGCAATTTCCGATATAGTTAATATTTCCAAAGGCACAACTCTTTTTAAAATATTTGATCAGCACTGATTTAAGAAATTGTTCGAGACATCGCTGATATATATTAACTTTCTTCCATTTTGTACCATACAATGTTCAAATTGAACGAATCCGGATTGCATAAGTTTAAATGAATTGAACATGTTAAATCCATATTTGACAATACTGGATTTAGCTTTATATGGAATATTCAATCAAAGGTAGATCCAATTCAGATTAAAACGAGTATAAAGCAAAGATTAACAGATGAATTCATCCAACAGTGACACTCTCAAATCCAAAACTCATCAAGGGGGGATATTACGGTCTTTTCAAAATCGACTTTGGCTTAGAAAAATATTTATTAAGACTCTCATCTGCAGATCGTAAAAATATTACTAAGCTGCGATGCTGTAACCTAAAAATACCAATTGAAACAGGAAGATGGAATGGAATTCCTAGAGGTGAAAGACAGTGTCATCTCTGCTTCTTGTCCATTGGAAATGAGTTTCACTACTTATTTGAGTACCAGTCTGATGTTGATAAAAATATCAGAAAAATACATATTTCAGAATATTACCGCATTTATCCATGTGTTGAGAAAATGAAAGGACTGCTTTCATTTTGCAATATCAAAGTTTTTAAGAGTTTATCCCTGTTTATAAAGGATGTTCGCTCCTCTTGTTTTTGATGTTTTTGTCAGATATTCGGAATCCTCTGGTTTTATCCATGTAGTGCCATTAAAAATTTTGCCCGCTAACCACTACTTTTCTTTTCATAATTCTATTACATATAGTTTAAAAAGCCATATTTGAAAATCTTATAAAAGCCTTGTTATTATTTCATAGTTTTTGAAAGAAAAAAGGTACCAATGTTAAATATTTAATTTTTTGCTGCTTTTTAGGTCCTTCATTTATATATTATCAATTTATAACAGTCTTTTATAAAGCTTGTAATTTTGAAACAGAGGAGCGAACATCCTTAAGAAATTATTTAAACTATTGTAATTATACTCTAAACTATATGATTATATGTTAACATTGTTTTGTAGCAACCATAAATACGAATATGTATTATGCCTCTTGTTACACATGTAAATATGTGTCTCAGTGTTTCAAAATAAAGTATATTGTTATTGATGTAAATCTGATATAAATCTGGGAAAAATTGTACATAAAAATTGTACATATGAGAACGGTTACAATGCAATTTTCCATAGTATTAATATTTTTAAGGGGCACAACTCTTTTTAAAATATTTTATCTGCACTGATTTTCGAACTTGTTCGACACATTGCTGATATAAACCTTTGATATAATTTTTATAAAAATCTGCACGAATTTTACACGTGAGAGCGCTAACAATGTAATTTATCCATATAATTAATATCACCAAGGGGTATAACTATTTTAAAATAGTTGATCGGCACTGATTTTCGAACTTGTACAAGACATATAATGTGAACAACAAATCTATTAATTTTGTAAAAAAAAATTTACTACCGTACTCCTAACAACAAAATTACTATATTTAAATCTACCTGTGTACGTTGTTTTATTTAACGCCATTTTCAATAACAGATAGAAAACTCAGGGTTAGAATTCATAGAACAGAAAAGGGCAGTGGCAAATATTTCATGTATATTTTGAACACAGAGAGAATTACCCCGGCACCCTTTGCAAAAAAAAAAAAAAAAATTCTTATTTGTGCCTTCGGACTTCATGTTTTGAATTGTAGTTTCACTTTCCATATTCGGTATTTATTCAAATGTAAGCTCTACGTGGTAAAAATCACGTGATGCAGGAATATAGTGTCTTGGAGTTGGGCTATTTCTTTCTTTTCGGGCGGGGACTCCAAGCAAACAACATGCATGTGTATAACGGCACTGCAGATTTTCGTATTAAATAAAGAAAATTGGCAGTCCGGTACATTAATAGATTGGTTAGAAAGCAAGGTTTCAATTTTAATTAGATTGGAAAGCTTAATTCGAGGGTTGAAAATAGAGAGCACAAAAAAGAGGGAGGGGCGGTGTTCCACAGGAAATATTTTTATCTTATGAACTCTACATTTGAAAGGTTTATTATTTTTTTTTATTTAATCAAAAAAGAGGAAAACAAATGTAAGACAAATTGTGAATGGTCTTTCTTCTCCCATGCCAAGAAATTGCCTCCGTTGAAATTCTGCAAACACCCCATAGAGCAAATTACATGGATGATTAATATTGACCATTTGGTATATGGTTGTGTTCTAAGCGACACATACATGAAGGTCATAAATTAATTTGTTGAATGAAATCAAATCGTTAGCTACTAATGAGTGCCGTAGGAGGTAGACCGGAATTTTTAGCGAGGATTTCTTGGCATGGTCCCATGTTAGAGTTGTCTTTTTGACACTGTTCCTACATCTTTTTTTTATTAATATTATATTTATATTGTGTAATAGATCAAACTTATTCGTTCAGTGTATGTTTACTTGTTTTTGTTTAAATGTCTTTTTGATCGAGTTAAGCCATTTCAATTGATATTTTATAGTTTGTCTTTTTATGTTGTAATGTAACACTACTGTCTCAGGTTAGGGTGAAGGATGGCGCCTGTTAAAACGTTTAAAACTTGCTGCATTTTATGTACCTGTCCCAGGTCAGGACCCTGATGTTCAGTGGTTGTCTTTTGTTAGTGCGGTTCATAAGTGTTTCTCGTTTTTTATATAGATTAGACCGTTGGTTTTCCTGTTTGAATTGTTTTTCACTAGTCATTTTGGGGCCTTTTATAGCTTACTGTTCGGCGTTAGCCAAGGCTCCGTGTTGAAGGCTGTTCTTTGACCTACAATTGTTAACTTTTTATACATGATGAGTTGTCTCATTGACACTCATACCACATCTTCTTATTTAAAGCTGTTATAAATCTATGATGTAATTTTTATAAAAATCTGGCAAGAGTTGTGCATGTGAGAGCGCCAACAAGACCGGAATGACAGATGCACTGATAGAGACCTGGTATATATATATTTCTATGTCCCATGCAATGCACCCCACGAAGGACAATAATTACCATGGCAACATACTTAACTTTTAGATTTCCATTTTTTATTGCATTGCTGAAGATTTGTCATTATATTTGAAGCAACTTCTTTTATTTATATAAAATGTGTATTATGAGTGAAGTGAAATAATTTTATCAAAGTATAAATGGA